CAGTCTTGTTAATCTGGGCTGGTTTCAACTTGTAAATTGCTGTGACTAAATTAGTATGGCCTCCATTGCACATTTAAAGATATTAGTGGAAATGGGCTGGTGGCATCAGTAACAATCAGTTGCTCAACTTTGCAACCCAGTGCAGCTTTACCAGATTTTACTGGATTTGCAGTTTGCCATAGTGACTGTCTTAGGGTAGTGTCTGTGAGGAAACTTCTGCAAAAACTGTCCAATAATTTCTTAAAAGAGCACTTGCAGAACAAGTACTTCTTGTGGCAGCTGAAGTTACAGGAACAGGTTCTTTGGGATTGTCCTGTGTGTGGTTTCTCTGGTGTTGTCTGACTTTCTTCCTTCCCTTTCACAGAGGGACTGATTTGGGCTTCCCTCTTCTATCAGTGCATCCATTTCCTACAAATGTGCCAGACCATAACAGTTCAGGGTCCTTCACACCTCTTAACTAGCCAAAGTCACTTGGGGTGGTGGGACAGAGGCTGACAAATGCCCAGACAGTATAATCACATCAGAATAGAGTCACAATTTCTCAGAAAAAAACAGGCTGAAAAGAGACACACTAACTGGAAGACACACAAGCTAGAAGTCCACATCAACTTTACAGATCATGTCTGCAATGAGATCTGCAAGGACATGAAAGTGGAATGGAGAGGCAGATAGCTTCTATCAGGGGTGTGGACTTCTGCTTGTTCAGGTTTGGGCAAGACATGACTCTTATTTTTTAGTTGTGAGGGGTTTTGTTTTGGTTTGTTTTCTGTACTTGGATACCTGCAAAAAAACTACCACCAGAATATTTAGGGTGCTACTAAATCTTCAGGAGGGTGGGGTGGAAAGAGTGTTGTTTTCCTGAAATTGCAGCTCTTTCCTTCTGCAAACTACACTGGGAAGAAAGTTGACTCTTCTGGTTCCTAGACAAGGAGCAAAGGAGCCTGCTGGAATCACAACAGGCTGTGAACAATGTCAAGTCAGTTTGGCAAGGGGATCATTCTGAAAGTTTCAATTGCCAAATCTTGACAAGGAGATTTGAGTTAGGAAAGATAAAGGGAACAAAATAGAGGAAGGGATTTTGATAGGATCTGTGACTGTGAATGAAATGAAGGGCTGGAGAATCGAGTCAGAGGGGAGAGTGGAGTTCAGGAATAGATGAAAGAAATTAGGGGGAAAGTCTCTGTGCCTGACAGGGTATATTGCTGGGAATGAAACCCAAGATCCTTGGCTCAGCATTTCCCTGCTGCCCACAAGGATCCACAAAAATGTTGCTGTAATGCTGGGACTCCTGGAGGATGGTTACCAATTATTGTAACTATTCTTTTATCTTTGTGGTTTTTTTTTTTTCTCTAGCCTGGAGGGTTGGGGCAGGAGGACTGGAGACGGTGCTGAAAGACAGCAATAAAGAACATAGCGCTGCACTGACAGGAAGTTTCAAAATTCAGGGTGCCCATGGGATCTGAACTTGCTCCCTTTCCCATTTAGAGGTAAGTATAAAGATACAAATCTTTGCTAGGCACATCTTTTCCCCACAGGATCAGCTTACTCTCAAAGTAAACCAAACAGCATTTCTCTGACAAACAGATTTCCAGTACTTTGTCTTGTAATTCTCTGTGTGGCTCCATGCCTCACTGGCTGCTCATTGATCAATTCCCACTTTGAATAATGAATTAGCAAGTCCTATTTATGTTGTTCATCACTGGAATACACAAGTATACACAGATCCAAAACAGTAACAGCTTTTAGTCATGTCACCAATATTTATCTTGGTAATTCATTATTTTGAAAGTAAAGCTTCATTTCCCAGGCAGGTTGTGTAAAATGCTTGTCCTCGTGGGTCCAAATTTACAATCCAACAATTTCAGAACAAGAATACTCAGAACTCATTTATCTGGATTTCCATTTTTATGAAGCCATCTAAGAAGTCATGAGAGGAAACAGGATTCTGGAAAAAATATGATAAAAATAAAAACAGGGAGACCATCATTGCCTCATAGGCCTTGGAGAGAAAGATGACAAGACAAGCAAAGCAACATGCATGGAAAGAGAGGCAGAAAAAAACAAAGCTATTAGTACTAGTAGAAGAACAACTTTTCCTAAGTCCCACTCCAGCATCTATCCATTCACTCTCTCCCACACAGCCATACTGTTTTTCTCTAATAGCTCCCATAGAGCTTTTAATGACTAGGATTACAAAAAAAATTGAGGCTTATGACCTACACGGGGAGTTGTATTATTCCCAGTTTACAGAAGGGGGAAACTTGAGGTGTGAAGCAACCTCATCTCTTCTCTCACATAAGCAGAGGGCAGGGACTGAAGGTAAAGCTGTTCCTTTGTTTCCTCGCCAGAAAAGCAAACACTGAGCATTTTGCTAGAATAGAATATTGAGACTCTTAGGTAATTTTTATTCTCAGGTGCTGCACTTCTATGGAAACTTACCTTTTAAAGGTAACGTAGAAATGCTGACTGCTTTTAAAAATTCCATTTTCCTTACCTACCTTTTACTGCCGTAACTGTTGCTATGGAAACTGGAACTGGCCATGAAGCAGTTCTACAACATGAATTCTCACTTGTCAGTCTTACTTTAAAGTGCCACCTTCTAAGTCCTTTAATAAACCAGTAATAATTGTGTTGCCTAATGAGTTTTCAAATTAAACAAAACAAGAAAGCATGCTTTCACTGAATGCTCTGCACAATATTTCATAGGTGTGGTCTAAGAATTTTAACAGTGTGCATGATATGACTCTGTTGGTTAAGGATATGATCTTTAAACAGAGAGACAGTTTATTTGCAGTAAAAGCCCTAGTGTGTGTAGTTTGACTTACATAAAGGTGACTTATACCAACATGGATATGTCTAGACTGCTGTCACAGAAGCACACTGTAGAGATACTGAGTGAATGGGTAAATCAGCCCACAGTGAGCTCTGTGCTCCCACAGCTTCTGGGGCACTGCTGTGCAGGCACATGCATCCTGTATTTTCTGTAGGTGCAAGAGGGAATGCTCTCAACCAGAGTGTTAACCTGGGCTGGGTGGCTACTGTGGAAAAAATAAAGCATGCAAGCTTAAGACACAACTATTCTGTAGAAATAGTCAGAATCTGTGTAGCTTAAATCTAGGCTCCTCCATTAACTTTAGCTTAACCTTTCACTCTTTTAAAAACTATAGGCTCCCTTGTGTTTATTCATCTTACTTCCCTGAGACAACTCATCAGAGAAAAATCCCTTTTTCCTGTTCTTAGGGAACAAACACCATCAGAACACACCCTCCATCACAAGAGTTGAGAACTCCCAGCAAGGATCAACTTAAAAACTTCCAGGGACAGGTTTTTTCCAGAATAACTTACCCGTGTTTCCTGAGATAAGTTCCTTCCACCTCATCTCCAAGGCTTTGCAGTTGTTCAGTGCATTTGAACTGCAACACGAGCAGGACTGAAGCAGATACAAGTGTCTGCCCTTTCTACCTCCAAGCATAGAAAATCAGTGGACAGGGATTTTAGGCAAACTTTACACAAAGAAACACATTTAAAACACAGTAAGTGCAGCCTCAGAGTTGGAGGCAAGAGAATTTGCACATGTAACTATACAAACTGCAAAGTTGAAGATGTAATCCTATTTTGGTATGAATTTATTTTAAAGAGATCCTAAAGAGCAACATGATCTCCAAACTCTCTTTTTCTCCCCGAACTCATCCAGCCCACACACTCAGCTGTCATCCTCAGGAGAACCAGGGTCTTTCTTCTAACTTAAGAGAGATCACCTTTCCCATTGAGCTAGCACTGTTTCTTTAACCCTTTCCCAGCAAAATAAGCTTCTGCTAATACAGAACATTTCAAGAAAATGGCCAAGACAGTCTCATAAATTAAATGCCATGCTCTTCCAAATGGTCTGAAACACCTCATACTTTCCTTTAAAATATCCTCAAATTCATGCCAAATAAGCAACTTAACCATATGTACTGCTTGACTGTGGGCAATTCCTGAAGTGAATTTGAATTCAGGAATCAATATTCCAAGCTACTTCTTCCACAGATAGCCTTGTTTTTAAGCATCACTTCAAACTCATCAACAATTAGAGCAGGAATTTAAAAGCAAAGCTCCCCAGTGGCCAAGCAGATCCTCTCATAGGCATAAATTAAAGTTTCAATTCCCATCAGTAGCACTTCACTCAGTATCTGCCTTCTTTCCCTGATTTACAGAGATATTCAGGGTGTGGGGAGGGAGTGGGGAATAAACACTCTACAACTCTTCCTTAATCCTCTTCTATTTCCTTCTGAACAGGTACATCCCTTCAGCACCCATTTAGGGCCCATATTAAGATCTGACTAGAAGGTACCTGACTCAGAGCAGAGCAGCAACGTGAGGAGTAGGGAAATCTGTGAGGAAACCAACTACTGAGTCCTGCAGCAAGTAGGGAGCACACAGCAAATGAATGATTCATCCATAGTTCTCTACTAGAACAAACTCACCGTCTCTTTAAGGCCAGAGTTTTCCAGGGCCTCTAAATGCAAATGCAAAATATTTTGTCAAGCCTTTCTCTTAGCCTATATCTCACTGCAGCCAGGGCTTGGAGTGAGGCAGATAATATAACAAACCAGAGAGCTGGCACACATGGGGCTACTCACTGGCTTTCCTCATGCATATGGTTTATTTTTCCCTGCTATGTCAATCCATATATAGGGCTTTACCACTACAGCTGCCTCCTGGGAGTCTGCTGTTTCAACTGTTACAGGGAAGGTGCAGAGGAAAAAAGGATAAATTCAATCTTTTGTACTCTTTTCAAGTTAAAGGTCTCACCTCCACACCATAAATTAAACAGATTATTAAACAGACAAGCCCCTGCAGCAGCAAGCTCTCTCTAAGCATAAATATTGAACGACTTTGCTTTTTAACTGTTGCACATAATTATTCCAGATCAAACATATTGCATGGTAACCTTCTTTAGGCCAACGTTGTTTCATCTATGCCTTGTGTTCTTCTGTAAGCACAGATATGGGCAGCATTTTGCCACAAAAGTGACAAAGAATAAAAGACAAAAAGCAACAGGCAGAGGAGGTTACAGTGGGTCTCAAAGGCTTCTGTATTTTCTTTTCCAAAGCATCAAATTTATGTTTTACCATTTGTGATTTAAGAAACAACTGAAACAGCAAAATAGTAGCTGATTTTGAGAATTCTGGTCTGAAGAGAAACTGCAACAACAGGCATCAGTACCACAGACTGGAATGCAGAGGAATGGAGGCATGCTTGACAACCAGTGGGCAAGGGATGCAGGACCCCATTCCTGAATATTACTTTACAGAGAATGGGGAGGATTGCTTTAGTAGTGGGAAAGCTGTCCAGATTGAGGAACACATATTCACAGACAAAGATGCACCAGGCACTGCCAGGAAGGACAGGCAAATCCTTCTGTTTGTGTGTCCTTTCTCTAGGTGTTACCGGGTTCACATAAAAAGAAAGATCTACAGCTATTACCACATGAAACCTAGCAAGATCAATCATTAAGCCAGAAAAATATCTCCTGAGATGACCACTGCTGTAAACAGTGATCTTTAGCAGTGACTTTACTTTAGGCCCACTGGATGCAGATGTGAGGATGGTCAATGTCTCTTCTTACTCCAAGAGCACAGTTTCTTTTCCAGTTTCCCTGCTAGATTAGAATGTCCAGAATCAGTTTGATACCACTTTCACTAGGAATAGCAAGGAAGTCAGGAAGAATATTAAAACAAGTATTTGAACAATTTCTCTGAAGCTGGAGAAAAATAGCATTTGGAGAACCAAAAGGCTCTTTTTTATCAACTATCTAGATCATACAAGCTAATGACAGCTTCTCACAGTCTCTCAACCTCTCTTTCTTATCTTTTCTCTTTAAAATACCATAAAATATCCTTCCATAGTGCTGACAACATCACTGTTACTCTCCAGTAATTCCAAGACACGATGCATCACCACTTCAGGCAGAGAGGGGCTGTAGCTCTGCTGAACACAACTCAGGACATGAAGGAAATGGCAGCCTTTTTCAGCATCTGCAGAAAAAAGGAAAATGCAGCCAGGCATGGAAGAAATATTTCAGTCTGTCTCTTTTGAACTATCATAATACAGATCAATCTGGAAAAATCCCAGAGCCCTAGATACAGAAGCAGACATGTATTCAGAAGAAAGAGATCCTCTCTGTGCCTACAGTTCTCCAATTATCAACTGTTCCCAGTGACTCTTCTGGGAAGTGTCAGAGCTGTAACATTAGTAATGAGGGTGAAAGATAACTCAGTCATGACAACTCTTAACATACAAGGCTCAGTACAATTGATGAGGAGTTTAATAATGTAAGGGCACCTCCACTGTGCACCTGTGCAGGCCATCCAGTTTTTGCAACTTCAGAAGGAACCAAATGAAAGTCATTTTACTGACACCCAACTTCTCAACCCTCTTCACAGCCTTCAAGCACAGCAGGGAGGTGCGTGGCCAGGGCCTGTAACCGCTGGCCCAACGCTGGCATCTTGTGGAAAAATTGCTGCACTGCAACTCACAATGCTATCCCATCCCTACTCTGCAGACCACCCAGACAATTATGGGAGTAGGAAGTCATGGAACCATCAGTATCAGATTTTATCTCCTTTTAAGTGGAATTAGCCCTGCAATGTACAAGAGAAGAGAAGTTTTAAATAACCCCCTTTGCTAGGGGCAAGCACAGAGGTCCTTCATGGCTGCACACAACTATTCTGTGCCAGGTGGGGCACTGTTTGAAGCTGTCCCAGTCATCAGTTCCTCCACTAATCATCAGTGCTGCACGCTCCCAGTCCCCCAAGTGCTGAGGTCCACAATATATTTGTCCGCAGCAGCTGACAATGGCAAAAAGACATAAATCAGATTTATCAGCACAAATTATTCTCCTTAGCTCAACGTGATGCAAGGCAAGTTTGATAAGGGTACTGAGAAACTGCCATGGGCCAGGAAGGGCACTATGTTTTGTTGGTTTTTGTTTCTTTAGTTAATTCTCTACTCTCGAATCTGCTGAGCCCCAGAGCTGGGTTAGAAAAAGCTGCTGAGAAAGTCATTGGTAGATAGCAGTAAATAAACAGTTCAGCCTAGTTCTGATTAGGCTGTGAATCAGGCAGATATACTTCCTCAGAAGTATCCAGCATGATAAAAAGACCTTTGTGGCCAATAGCCAAAAATGTGTCCACTACCCTGGGAGAGATAACTGCAGAGAACAGAACAATGCCTCTACCTGGTCATAGTGATTGTTGTTGCAAACAAAAAGGGCAGCTGCACTTTGCATTTGTCATAGGTTTGTCATAAGAAGGTCAAATTGCCCATCCCTGATCCAGAGTAACTTAAATCTCAATGAATTACATTAATGACTCAGGTGTTACCTAACAGTACAATGTGTACTTTCCCCCTAGATGCTGGTAGAAAACAGCACTTTGGGGAAGCTGCAGGTTTGTACAATGATTAAGTAACCCTAAAACATTCCTGTCCTCTTTCACTGAGATCCTGGGTTCTTGCTTTTGTCCAGCAGCTGAGGGAAGCCAGGCAGTGATTACTGTCCTGCCTGACAACCAGCATCAGAAGGGACAGAGTTTTAGAACTACCATTTGCTCACTGCAGATGTCCCACACAGGGTACATTCTGACATATTAAATTTAACTTCAAGTGGTTCTGGTTTTTGTCCTCTCTACCATTAGCCTGATTGAAGCAAAAAACTTATAAAACAGAGAAACAGAGCAAATTTATAAAACAAAGAAAGAAACAAACCAAAACCCAAATCCATTTTGCAGTTCAGTCTGAAGTCAAAATGTGCTATCTGGCATTATTAAGTTTCTAGATGGACCCACAGTGGTGTCTCATGAGTGCATTTAAGATGAGGAATTATAAGTGGAGCCAAGGACTAGGATTGTCAGGTAGGCACATTACAGATCAGGGCTTGTAGAGCTCTGAGTAGGCAGGCAAGATTTTTTTTAAATTTGTACAATAGTTTCAGACAGCTGGGTTGGGCCTGGGAATGTGTCACAACTACAGCAATGGGGCAAGGCGTTGCCTGGAAAACTGGCAGAGAAGTAACTCATTGGAGAGAAGAGTTTGATTTATCATAAATCATCCCTCTTGTCATGGAAGATTACTCTTACTCTTGGAGGAAAACGGGTAGGAATTTCTTGGAACAAACAAGAAAAAGCCCTGGAGGTGAATGGCCATGTCCCTGTTTTCTCGCTCCTGGAGCTCCCACCAGCAGAGGGGGGCCGGCAGCCACGCTCAGCTCCGCACTCTTGCATCATCCTCGGACAACAAATACCGCCGTGCCTGCTGGTTTCGATTGAAGCTCCTTGGCTTTGCTTCCACTGCCAAGGACCAGGACATTGATATGGTCCTTCTGGAAAGCAGCAAAGGGACACTGACCTGGAAACTGTCCTCTTCGCAGCGGGAAACTAAGTAGGAGGAAAGCTTCAAGGAGAACAAGAGGCTTTGTAAAACAGTTGCTAAATTTAAACTGCTTATTATGGAAAACATGGCTTTGAGGACTCAGGACTCTTCAAAGTCTTTTCTGTGACTGATCTACAAATTACTCTCTGCTGTTGGCTTTCCTGACTGAAAGAACTTCCCAACTTCTCATGGAACACAGAGTACTTGACCAATGCACAAAAAGGGAACAAATAGGAGGCAGTCACTTAGTGCCTCTGTCAACTGTATAGAGGTTCTGGCCTTGATAGTGGCATGGTTATATTAAATAAGCAGGTTACCAGGAGAACTAACTGATGTATAAAATGAGCAAAGGAATGATTTGACTCTTAGAGAAATGATATTTGTTAACTGGATAAAAGACAATAAAACAATGTGATACAGCAGTTTGTTGCACTGAAACACCCTCAGGCAAACAAGCCCATATTAACCTGCATGCCCAGCAGTAACCTCTTTTCCCAAGACCTTGTCTACAATTGTACCACTTAAGAGAGACAGTTAAAACTCAAACTTGATTTTGCCTCACTTAGCCTTTTTTCCACTGCAGGATAACCATCATACTCCAGGTCCTACAAGTGCTATTGTAGTTATGATAGTATAGGGATATGAGCAATTTAAGATTTTATGCCTTATGTTCCAGTCAGTCATTTCTTCTGTACTAAAGCACATTCTGTCCCACAAATAGCTGTACTCTTGACAGCAAGTGATCCCTGCTGACACATTCTATCCCATGAACTGAAAGAAACTCTGTAGCAAGGTACCTGTGTAATTAGAACACATTCAAGTCAAGCACAAGTTATCACTCTGGAAATAGGACATAATAGTTTGAGGGACAGGGATAACTAAGAAGCCACCTGAGGCACGTTATCTGAAAAGAACTAGACTTTGTCTGACTGAAATCCTTAACTACAAAAAAATACCATTTGAGCTCTACCTGAGCTTAAAAATCTCCAGAGAATATCCTACTGACTTAAGCAAGTTGTATTGTTGACTTAAAGGAGGTGGGGATTTCACCTTTCTGCATGGTCACTTTTGTGTCAACTCCCCTGTAGAAACTGAACCAGCAAGATTTGCTACTTCTCCAGAGTGCAGAGCAACACCTGCTAGGTGGTGACCTGACTGCATTACATTTGGTTCCTCCCAAAATCCAAGTATTCTTAAAAGATACAGATCTAAGATAATGGCTGCTTATTTCAGATGGAGAAATTTGCTTCCTGCTGGGCACACCTGCTCTTCATCTCTCTCCATGCTCACAGGAAGCTGCTCCTGCACTCCTGCTCTTATCTGTACTGATTAGCTACACTGGCAACAGCTCGAGCTGGAGGGTGAGGACAAGCAGCATGTCCAACCCAGCAGCAGGAGGAGATATTGTCATCAGTATATCAGCACCAGCTCATCAGAGCTTGATCACTCTGCTACTTACGCCTGGGTTTTCGACAGTCTTCTTTAATCACATCAAGGGTCACTTTAAACAGCTCCTTATCATGGTCAGTTACCTGAAGAAAAAAGAAGAAACTGCCCTTGCTGTTGAAAAACAATCCACTGACATGGTGTATTCTAAGCTAACACTGTCATAATTACACTCTGCATTTTATGCTGCCTCCAAGACTAATAATGGATGTCAAATCTTCAGGCAATATTCTTACTACTATTTGCAGCATCCATGAGTTAGGTAAAGAACATGATACAACTAAGTTTGACCCAAAGGAGGGTGACAGACTCAGCAGAACAACAAGCTTGAACCCACTTGGATAAGGAGAACTGTCCCAGGCCCCAGGTTTCAGTGAGCTCAGCTGGATCAGAGCAGTTTGGCAGCCCAATGAACACAGAACAGAACTTGGAACAACTCAGTGGGTGATACAGAGGTACAACCAACTGTGAAGTAAGTTGCAGAAAATACTTCTGAGTAAACTGAGAGCAACTGGATGCCCTGCTGCTCTTTCTGAAACATTTCTACTATTTCTGTAATATTTTTATTGTTTTTACTATTAGGAAAGTCATACCACTGAACTTGTTTGCAACCACAGCTCAGTTCCTTACATAGTATAAGTCCTTGGAGCTGCTAGGTTTCTGGAAAACCACTCCTTTTTCTTGTAGCATCTTTATTGCTTCCTTGAAAACACCATGAATCCTTTTGGAACTGGAGCTACTTTCTGATTTCACCTGGATGGAAAGAAAGGAATGAAGCAGATGGTGAGAAATCTCAGCTCAACTAAAGTTACCAGCAAAAGATGGTATCAAGAAAGCATCCAAATGCTTTCAAGAAGCAGATCACTTCAGATCCTCTTTAACATGAATTTTGTTACACATTTTTCTTCATTTAGTAATTCACAAATCATATCTGCTATGTATGAAATAATCAATATCGCTGAGCTTTAAACAAAACCCAAACACCAGAAGCTTGTACCAAACTTGAGGAACCACAGTCTCTAAACTGCTTTCTTTGTGATTAGCAGCTATTTGGTGATATACCAAGAAATCTTTTTTTGGAATATTCTTGTGATGCTTGCAGATCATTTGACTTTTTTGTTAATCAAGCTTTGTTCACTTTTAGAGTTTTCCTGTAATAAGGGTAGGAAGGTAGGAAAATCAGTATTTTGTAAGATGATATTCAGGGGGAATCCAAGTGCTGAGGATTGGATTCCCATCTTCTGACTTCAGGGAAAGGAAAAAACTGACAAAATCAGTATTTGTTTCTTGCCCCCTTTGTTTCCAAATTTTTACAAACATGCTCCCAGGAGCTTCTCCACAGCCTAATGAAGTGAAAGGATAAAGAGCATCCAATAAATTAAGACAAGCATACAAAACAAGGAAACAAAGGATTCAGTTTTAAGGGTAGGTGGGAAATTAATTTTTTGTGAAAGGAGAACAATGTGTCTGGAAGTCCTAGCTGAGTTTATTTAGAACACAAGGTTCTGGGTTTGGGACACATCTAACAGAGTAGAAGGAAGGAAGGGGAGGGAAAAAAAACAGGGAAAAGCAGGTTTTGTTTGGAAATAGAACAGAGCTAAGAGAGTGGAATGACAGCTAGGGAAGTAGAAGGGAAAGTATGTGTAGATAAGAGCAAGACTGTGATTTACTCTTCTCCATCTCCATCTGTCCTACTGTGTCCTTCAACCTCCCATTTATCTATGCAGACCGCTTCAGTTCCTCAATTGCTGTTTTCTCATCTGTTTGGAGCACACTGTGCTCCCTGTGGTTTTCTTTGAGAAGGGAGCTAAACTGCTTCCCACAAACCACCATGTGATAACTAGAACCACACCAGAGCAACCAGAGCAAGACTTGCCAAGCCATTCCTTCAACTATCACCATAAATGCTCCCACCCTGTTCTGAACAAAAATATCAGACTTGACATATCCTACTTCACTCACCAGGAGCAGCTCAGAGACTGGGGAGTGAAGCAGGCAATCATCATAAACTAGAAAGAAAGTACATGAATGTGTGAAATGGACACCACAGGAGCAAAGGAAGAATCTCATTCAATGCATCTGCAGTTCTCAAGGGACACTCCAACAGCCTGGAAGCTGATGTACCTAACTGGGAATAGTTCTGGGATCCAAAAGGGATATTGGTGCTAGCATGCATCACAAGTTTATCTCTCCTGTTCCTCCAGATAACCCTCAGGATTTCAACAGGCCATAATCACATCTCTCTCTCTGTCCCACAACAGCTAACTCTCTTTTTCCTCTCAAATCACCAGCAAAAATAATTGCTGAATACTTCAAGATAATTAACACAGAACAATGGCTCTTATTCTCAGTTCAGTTTCCTCTGTTTCAGACTGAAGGATTTAGTGCCTGAACCTTGTCTGTCCTCCTGTCCACCATAGCACCAATCTGCATAACAACAGGCTCTACTTCTAATTACAAACTTGGCCATGCATCTGGACACTGTTCCAGTCACAGCATTAATACCACTAAGGTATTTCTCTTCATTGTGCCTCTTCTGATGAACTGAAGAAACAAACACAAAATGCAGCAGGAAGGATTAAGTGAAGAGTGAATATTTGCTCACAGAAAAGCACATTCTCACAGCCATATGTAAAATGAAGAGACTTTGCCTCTCACTCAAATGCAGTAATAAATCCTCAAGAATGTAAGAAATTGCTAGCAAAGCAACCAACTCAAGACTCTGATCAATTTTTAATGTGAAAGCAAACATTTGGGGAGAAAAAAAGATAAAAATATTTCCAAAGAAGCACAATAATTATTCAGTTTGGCTTACCACTGAAATCCTGTCAGAAAAGGGAGATAATTAAAAACAGACTCTGTGTGAACTGACACACAGCTCAGCCTGGATGGATAGTGAAACAGAATCACTAAGAATGCAAGTCAAGGCATTGACAGAGTGAAAGCAGCAAGGCCTTATTATAAGTAAGCAGCTGTTCCATATCAGCACTCTCTCATATGTGCTGCAGAATCCATGGAAAAGGGCTTCATGGCAGAAGGACTGTTTCTGAAAACCAAAATAGGGCTCCTGCCCGCTTTAATAGTACCATATTATATATTAATACAAAAATATTATGTATTATTGGTGTTCAATGGTACCATAAAATGACAGGAAAATTTTGAGGTTTTTTCTTTGTGTGCTCTAGAACATGCTTCCTCTTCTCCATTCCTCTGGGTAAGGCAGCAATTCAGTTTCTTTGTCAACACAGACTGAAATTGCTTATTCTGCTCTTTTGGTCCACCCAAAGTAATTCCAGCATCTCATCCTGCAAATGCACAGGTCAATAGTATTTCTCCCCAATACCTCTCCCAATGTTCACACCTCCTTTTGCAAAGTGCCCCCCTTGGGCATGCCTTAGTTTCAGGGTGCACCATTTCAGGTTCTCTGAAGCAGTAACAGCAGGGTCTTCCCCCTCTCTTCCAAATCAGGTCCTTTTCAAATAAATGAAGCTGTACATCCAAACCTAGGAGCATTCAAGGATCAGTCATCCCTTTTGTAAAACCTGTTGTGTGTGTGTATGTGTGTAACCTGACACAGAAGCAGCTATTAAAGAATAATTTTACTATCATTACCCTCACTCCCAAGAATGGCCAAGGGCTCTGTAGCAAAGCCAACAGAAGAATCTATGTATCCAGAATTAACTTGGTACTTTAATCAATATATTCCATCTGATAGGCCTCACACAGCTTAGTGGGCTGGTGCTGCTGTGCAACCAGTTATTCTCAGATCTTTAAAACAAGACAAATTCTCTCTACAATCAATAATAGGTCAAAGAAATGAAGCAGCAAAGGAATTAGTGAGTCTGTTCAAAACACTGGAACTATGCAACCTTTGACTCATTATGAATCACACCCTGATGGTGTTAAAGTTTCCTGGTATAACAACACATGTGATTCTACTCAGGGAATCACCTTTTGCATTTTCTCATGTAATGTTTAATCCTGGGCTTAGGCAGGTGACAATTTTAATAATAGTGATCCTGGACGTGTCAGTCCTGAAGTCCTATAATAAGCTTTGCAGCTTATTATAGCAAATAATATTTAAAATAATATTTTTAAATGTTTAAACAATATTTAAAAATATTTAAATAATATTTAAAGCAGTGGTGAAACTTCCTCAAGAGGCAGAAAGACAAAGACCCTGCACCAAGAACATTCAGTGAACTGTGTTACACCTACAGTACAATGAACAGGGTAGACACAGACAGTGTGAACAACACTGCAAAACTTCCTGCTTTAACTACTTCTTGTTGGTGACCTTGAGATAATATTCAAATCAAGAGGAGCACAAACAGCACACTCTGGAAAGCACAACTCAAGCTACATGTCCAGGGCAGTGACATTCACAAACTGGAATGGCAGCACTAAAATAGCACACACTATAGCTTATGCATGGCAGAAGGGCAGAAATATTGTTAATCAAGACTGGCTGGTTTAAAGCATTTCAGTTGAGAAATTGGATGGATCCACTTAACATGTAGCTTTCTTTAAAAAAGGGACCAAAGACTTGTCCATTTGCCAAACATAATTGCTTAAGTCCAGTAAGTACACTCTGGAGGTTCTCTAAGCACAAAATTACTTTTTCTTGTTTTACTTGTAGTCTTCCTTCTGGTACACACCCCTCCAGACTCAAAAGTCACTTGTTTCAAGGGATAGGGAAAAGGCTACACACCTTTGGGATAGATGGGGAACTGGTTATGCAAATTAAAGCTCCAATGGCTTTAAAACTCATAAAAGATTTGTTAATTTTTAACTACTTTTAAAAGCAGTTAAATTCTCTTCCTCATAATTTGTAGACTATAAAATTAAATTTTCCCTAGTATATGTCTGAGAAGAGGAAATTATTTCAGTTCTGCCAGATGCATCTGCTAGAGGGAAATTTATTCCAGACAGGCAGACGAGTGCACTGCCAGGGAGGCATCAAGACTGGAATGGGGTATTTATTGTAGGACATGTATGGGATGTGGACAGGACTCAGCTACAAGTAATGCTGAAAAGGAACTCAGAGATGCTGCCTACCTCAAACTATTCCAGCTAACTCTTCCATCTTCACCCTCTGCTCCACTCCACTGCAGTGACTCCACAGCAGTTCATCACCTCCCTGGGGAAAATATTCCATGGGGAGACACCCTCCCACTGTGATGAACATTGTGTAAGTACTTTACAAGTTGGGAACGAGATGAAGGGGGAAAAGAAGAGAAAGGAAATAAATAGTTTAACAGCAACTTGTGCCCTAGAACACTGGAATCAGGATAAAAAAAATAACCTATACATCCAAATAACTCATCCTTTTACATCCAGGAAAAGTGCAAGAAGTGAACAAGTGTGTATATTGAGGCATGGCCTAATTAGCTGAGTTGGCTCTGTAGCTTCTGCCTTGCCAAATAGGCCCAAAATAACATTGTTCCACATCAGCAGCACCTTTTATCCTCTTGGTTTGAGAGCAGCACAAAACAAAAGACTACTGAAGAGAAAAGAAAGGAAGAGGGACAGAAATCAGATCTCTTACACTTCCTTTCATGGATAGAACTGGGTACTTGACCCTTTGCCAATTATGAAAGGTGACACCTTCTAGAGATGGAGTAGAGGAACAAGGAACTACATTTCCAGAGCATTACTAGGCACTCCTCCTAAGGCATTCATGCCACTTGACAACTGAAGGTCTTTTCTTATGCAAGAACAGATAACCTTCTTTGCAAGAAATTAGTAGTAAAGGACAATAAGTAGAACTGCAATTTCTAAATAAGCAGCTTTGCACCCACATTCCTGGGACATATACTCACATCCTTGTATCAGGGTCAGGAGCAACTAACAATTATTATGATAGCTCTTCATGACTGCTAATAACACTGATGCTACAGTATTTTTCTTGGTTTGGGGTTTTTGAGTTGTTTTTCTTTTGGTTGGTTGGTGGTTTGTTTGGGTTGAGTTTTCTTGGGGGATTTTTTCAGTCTTTCTATGTTTGTTCTGCACCAGTTCCTACTTTAAATGGCTTTGTAAATTATTTATCTTGGTCTTTCTATAAATGCTGAAGCATTTAAGTTTCCAGTATTGGACACAATGGCGACTACTTCCTTTATTGTAAAGTGTTTGGGAACTTTTAATACTGTTCCAGCTAGTTCAGAATGTACCAGGTGCCATGTTGGATAATCTACTAGCAAAATTTTCTGTCTAAAATGAGAATAGCTCTGTTAGTGCCAATATCCATGTTTGTTTTAAAGCAAACCAGAAAAAACCACCCTAAATGAAAACAAACAAACAAACAAATAAACCCCAACTCAGCTATCAAGAACAGCTATCAGCAGCATTTCAACAAGGCCAACAAGAAGAGCTACTTTTCATTATTATCTAACCTTGTCTGCAAGAGACTGATTTTTGCAGGGTTTTTTTTGGGGTTTCTTAAGAATTAAACAAACATTAGAATTCAACATAACATAGCACTTAACATTACAGTGCACATCAAAATCAGGGTGAAAACGACTGCCAGGGATTTATTTCTTTATAGAAAACCAAAAAGTAAACAAATAAATCACAACACTCCAGCTTAAGCTCCAACTGCCCTTGCTTTCATGATAAAAGATGTAACTGTAAGCTTTGCAGAAAATTATCACTTCATACAAGTTGAAAACCTGGTTTGTAATTTATCCAACTAATACAGAATAATATAAAGCCATTTTACAAAATGAGTGTTGTTCTATTTCCCATTCTGCAGCTGATCAAGAGGTTACTAACTCACTGGAAAATTTCTTAATAGTTTGGTTACACACAACTGCCTGTAAACTGATTTCAATTTAATCCCACCTTCTCATCCTTTCACAGTCAGGGACTTCCAAAGTGAGAAACATGTAGCAGGGAGCACTGTTCATCCACCCATCATAACCTTGTCTTGAGAGCTGCATCTCTATCAATATATTGAGTTTCAAATGAGAAACAAGACAAAGATTTTGTGCTCCCTTCTGATTAGATCCAGGATCTCAAACCTCTGTCTCAAAAAACTCAAGCACCTTAAAGGGATCTCTTTTTCTAACACAGCTACTAATTACAAATCTAAATACAGCAGTGACTGTTGCAGGCTCTAAGATTGCTCAGCCCTAATACAAGATTACCCCTATTAACAGAATGTTCTTACATTACTTTTTCCAGCCCAGTTTTATATGTCTAAAGTAACAAGATTTCTTCAAGCTCTGTAAATATTTAATGTGTAAAGCTCAAACACTAGTGGTTTTTGAATCCTCTGAAGACACCAGTCTCTTATCTGTTTATGCTTTAAAAAAGTACATGGTATTATCTTCCCCCACTAAAAGCTTGGAACAGGTGCATTCACTCACCTCCTCACAGCTGGGGCTGGGTAGATGCACACCCATCAGAGACACCAGAGAATCAACTGTCTCCAACTCCTGCTGGTAAAAGGTCTGAATTTTGTTTTCTAATAGAAAGCCTTGCACTTTCTCATGCAGCATATGGATTGAGAAATTCTGACCCTCCGGGCCACTACAAGGATACACAGAACATGTCAAAAGGTAAGAAATGTGTTTTAGAACAATTACATAAAGTCAGTCCACTGAACCGGTTTCAAAGGTCAAAGGATGTTTTACTGTCCTTAAAGAATTTGAATTTAAATCCTTAATTAAAACAGATCATTTTTATAAGTATAAACATTCAACTGTTCTTCAATCATTTGCTGTTAGGGTTTTGTGAATCTAGGATTTGGACTCTCTGAAACACTGCATGCACCAGGCCTCCCAATAAGCATCCAGCTACCCTGAAACTGAGTACAGGAGTAGGTGTTTGACTCAGCTTATTGAGGTTATGGATTTGTGATTTCACAAGGGCAGGAGAGCATTTCCATGAAATACCTCTTCAACCTTACACATAAAACAACATCAGTCAAGGATACATCTCCATCCTCTCTGCTGACCTCAGTCCCAAATCTTGCTCTAAATCCCATCTTTTTTCACTAGATGAAAGAGATCTGTACACATTATTTTACTTCCTTCCTAATATTCACTTTAGTTCAGCATTATATTTCTTTCCTTAGATTATGGGCAGGTATCTCATCTGTATGTATCACCAATTATTTAGGAGAAAAGCAGACTGCTACTGTATATGAATACAGTCTGAATCACAGTCAGGGCCTGCTCTATTTTTTTTCCAGAGTTATTACAACAAGTAAACAGTCATAATATCCCATACTTTGCCCCAGGAGCAGTTCTGCATACTGCATTTACCTCTGTATTTCCTCAGGGCCCTTGAAAGGTTTATCATAAACTTCTCTATAGAGACAGGGGAGCTCCAGCATTCTCGAAATCTGGACATCACACACAGGATCATCCACTTTATCTGGAAAGGCAATGAAAACTTGTAGACCTGGCCAGGACTCCCACACAATTTTTTAAGCAAGCAAACCTGAGGCAGCACAACAGAGCTTCACAGCCAGTATTAAATTGGCAAAATTTGTTCACTGTGGTTTTTATAAAAACAAACCACAAAGGCCAATCCTTCTTTTACAGTTTACAAGGAGGTAAAATGGCCTGTTGTGGTGCATTACAGATTATGCTTTTGTCTGACAACTTATTTAACCAGAATTTATGATCTCTATTTTACCTTTCAGCAGCCTTTATCCATTAAATGAAGTTAACACGTAGTAAGGAGCTTTATTTGGGCCAAAGCGAAAGCAATTTAGAGACTATTTGAATTGCATGGCTCTCTTTGGTATTATTACCAACTCATGAATATACTCATAAATCTTCTGTCTGGAAAGGGAGGCTGAATTCCTTGCAAACTCCCTTGCAAACTTAAGTTAGAGCTGAAAAATCTAGATTTTTTTATCTGGCTTACACAGGGTTCTTAAAAGACAGTATTTTCTTCACTAAAGAAATAATTTCAGTATTATCTCTGTAAGACCTCACTGGGGAAAACCAGCTCTTACACAACAGCCCAGACACGGAACTGAGAAGAAGTTATGTAACTGGAAGCTCCCAGAGCCGTGGGCTGCAGAGCCCTGCTGCTCCAGGAGCTGTCAGACACAGAGGCAGCACCTGCATGCAGATCTGTGCCTGAGGAACACTTTTGCCTCATCCTGCAGAGCCAGGGAGCTGAGGAGAAGCCAGGCTTCAGTGGGACCCTGCCCATATGCTGCTGCCTGCCCATGGAATGGATTGGCTGTAGTGAACAGCAGCCACTTCTCCAAAGCCCTCAGCACCCTTGGTGAAGTGGGACACAGAAGGTCCCTTCTCACAGGCTTTGGCTGCTCTATTTCAACACAGAGAAATCTGAAGAGCAAATCACTCTTGCAGACACCCAACCACAGTGTCCATGTGGTATTCTTGTATGCATGCTAATCAGCTTTTACAGTTTTTTCCAGGAATGCCTCATTTACAGGCAGTCTAACCTCACACATTACATAGTGTGTCTTCTAACCTTATGCTGCTACAATTGAAATAAAGATATACAGATGAAAATCCTTAGAAAAATGAGATCCCAGGAAATAATGTGGAAAATATTCAATTAATTACATACAGCTCAGATATTTTCATGGATTCAGACATTTTAGTTACATATATCACAGATTCATAAAACTCACAAAAACATGAGGCCTGAATTTCTCTTTGTTGCCTATAGGTTCGGATGTGACCTCTGACCCTGACAGTATCTCCAATCTCCAGCTTGGTTTTCTGGCTTACTGTTTCTTGGAGTTTCTTCAGCTGTTCAAACACACTGAGACTGCTGGGTGTGCTTGGATGACCTGCAAGAAGTGAGGGAAAGGGAGTCAGGCACTAATGTCAATGCATTAACCTTTTGCATTTGTCCACCTAAGCACCACAGGAGTCATATCACTAAAAAAGGGTAAGGTCCCAGGCACCAGGTGTCCTGGGTAGGAAAACTTCTGGGTGACAAAATTAGTTTACTGTATTATACTTATTTGAGTTGTTCATCTGGGGAGAATACAAAAGGGAGAAGATATTGATTTACCACTGAAAATGTCATAGATGGGTTGCAAAACTGAAACATAAATTTGAAATTGTTTTGGCATTTTTTGATTTTCTCATGCTAAGATGGATGAAAGGGGGAAAGAAAAGTTAGCTGAACTTTTTATGCAAAAGAAGAATGAGTCATCTGAGGTGGGGCCAAAGCATTCATGTGATGCAATTTGATGTCTACACTGGGGTGAATCCAACTGAGGTGAATTCAACTTGACAGAACCTCACATTTACATAACACAGCTTTGTAGGACAGTAAATCCTTCATAACTTAAAACCTGATTATTGCTCCAAGTATCCCTGATCACAATTACAAAGGGCTGGAAGAAAGTTTCTTGTGCCCCCTAAGAGCTTTCTTTAGCAGGTATAAATAAATGAATTTACATTCTTAGCATAGTGTCCATCCAACCACTACTGATGTATGCGTAAAATAAGAATACAAGGCTGAAAAGCATTCTTGGTCCTCATTCTATTTCAAGCAGTATTTCATGCAATTTCTTTTAATGCATCTAAGTTCCTCATTTAAGTTCCTCAAAACTGATTTGATTGCATGTCTCCTTTTTTTTTTTCCTGAGAGCTGTGCCAGATCATCACCTCTCCAAAGTGAGAGCTGTCTTCTACATTCCAGTTGGGATCATTTGTACCACCTGTCATAGGATTGTTAAATATAAGTATGAATTATCTGTCTGTATAAATGGGCTTGTTCCACAGACATCAGAGTTTTTAACTTTTACATCAAGCTTTCCTTTCTCCATTCTATTAATATGCATTCCTAACACTGCAGATGACACCAGTAAGATTTATTTCAGAAGGATTTGATCAGCTCCATATTAGGGTTGTCAATCCACTACATGGGCTTCCAAGAAGAGCCAAAGTAGAAAGAATTCTGTACTTTGATCTACAAGAAACAGTGGGAGAAAAAGCAAAGAGACAGCTAGACACTAGTGAGTTGCAATAATACATTAATTTCAAATGCACAATTACTGCACATTTAGGTCTTGCCCAAATTGTACAAGACTGCTGGCATCCTCCCACTGTGTTTGAAGCTACTTTCAAGTTCATTGCTGACAGTGTCTGTATGAGCAAGAGTATATGAATACAAACAAAGCAAGGATAAATCCTGAAACCAAAATCACCAGGGCAGGTCAATGGACTAACTTTGGAAACAGAAGTTGTGGCACATTTCCAGCCTAGTTCCTAACTAGATGAAGTCACAGAAAGAACCTTAACAGGCAAATTCTCTGAACAATGTCACAGCATAGAAATGAAATATCATATTACTCAAATAAGGAAAAGGCAGGGACAGAACATAACGTAATGGTTTTATTGGCATCACCCTTGAACAAAACACAAAAACTAATAGAAAATTCCCAAAATGGCCCAGGCAGTATTTGCTCTTCTGTAAGTTTGATCGCTTACTAAATTATTTAAGACAGACATAAGTAAAAAAAAAAAAACCAGTCAAAAGAGGACTTATTTATTTGATTAATTACCTGATAAAGGTGTTTCTGCTACCATGGGATTTTTCCAGCAGACACAATTTATAACTCCAGTACTATCATCCACTGCAAAAAAAAATTGCAAGCATTACAGACTAGGAAAGCAAGCAGTCATGTTCCAAGAAGTGAAGATACATAAATATGTAGGGAGATAACTGCCAAGCACATCTCATTCCAACTGGTTTGGAAGGTAAAGTCCAAACTCTACTTGCATATCTGAAATAATTTCCACAGTTGCTTCAGACATGAAAGTAGCTCAGCACCAGATGTGCTTATGTGCATAGTCAGCAAAGTAACAGGTATATTCTCAAAGAAAGATCATACAGTAATTTAAATTATGAGGCTTCAGTACATATATTGGATACTAAGGGGTTTCAATCTTGTTGACAAGGTCAGGAGAAGAATCAGTTTTGAAGGCTGAAGTCAGACAAATTGAAAAAGGAAACCAGGCACAAACTACAGAAGCATTACTGTTAGAGTGATGAAACAGCACTTCAACATTTGGGGATACAACCATGAGAATAAACCAGGAGTGCAGCTACCTGCAGCTGCACTGGTTTCCATGCCAATACTATGCTCAAGGTCTGTTGGTCTTTCCAATACAAGATGATGTCCAGGGAGCAGAAAGGCAGCTCCCCTAGGCAGGAAGGACAGAAGACATGCATTCCTCTAAGCCAGGAATTCCCAATTCAGAGTGTAGGTGCTGGTGGCATGCATGCCACTTCCTCTGCTGAAAAAGCTCAACAACTTCTCCTGAGCACAGAGCTGCTCTTCCTGTTCTGCCAGTGACCAATGGAAATCAGTTTGACGATTTCTGCTCCAGGCACTGCATTGTCTGGAGGTGACAGCAGGAAAAGACAAAACTCAAAGGATACTAAAATCTGTCTGAAGAATCAATTTTCCATTGATCAAAGGACTGTATATAGATGGCTTGTACAACAAACACTCTAAACAGAAAGACACTAAATGTCTGTCAAGGATCATCCAGCCAATGCACCTTGCTTCTTGAATGTAACATCTCCAAGACTGACATTCCACTCCTCACAAATGGAAACCTGCAATTTTCTTCTGCTCCTTAAAGCAAGTCCATGACTAAAAAAGTAACAGCAATGTTTACTATGAAGGTGCTGACTGATACCTGCAGTCATTTCCTCTGGGAACCATAGCATCAATGCCTTTGTATTGTCTCACATGTTTTAAAACAATCTCCCTGTTTGGGGGGGTCCGATTTCTAATTATTGTTTTACCTTCCAGTTTCCAAGCAGTTTAGCTGCACATTCCTATTAGCAAACTTACAGCACTTATAAGATGCAGGCAATTCCAAATTCCATCACAAAAATATACTCTTTTCTGCTCTCTCTGTTTTGAGCTGCTGTGTCTGCAACTATTTCAGCAGCTTTAATTTTGTACCAGAGCACAGATAACGATCTGCTGGTAGGATTTCCTCTCCCTGGTACAGACAGACAGCAACTATTTTAGTAGGAGGCAGAGCCCTCATCAGCCATGCCCAAGCCACGCGTGCAAGCCAGCAATGGCAACAAGAAGCAGGGCAGATAACATTTCACTCTTGCATTCCCACAGTTTGTAGATGTTCCAGCTTGCACCAACCAAGACAGACAGGCTTCCTAAGAAGGGCCTGGAAACAAACCAAGGCTGAAGGATTAGGAGGCCAGACTGCTTCTCCTCAATGTAACAGCTGAAAACAGAGATCTGGAGAGACTGACCTGGACTTGACCACAAAAGGAATCTGGTAGCAGAGTAAGGTTCTGAAACAAAGTTTTGCAATTTCATAGATGAAAGCTTTGAACAAAAAGACAAGTAGCTCTTGCAATTGTATTCTAATTAGGCAATCTATTTTAAATGCACAAGGGGTCTACAAACTTTTGAAAACTTCCTGTGCTCCCTGTGCCGCCCTTCCTCATCTCTTTGGGTTTAAACTTTTGTTTATTTGGGTTTTTTGTGGGTTTACTTTTTGTTTGTTGGGGTTTTTTTCCTGGTTTTTGTTTGTTTGGCTTTGGTTTCTTTGATTCTTGCTTAATTATTTGAGGGGTAGCTCAAAGCTACCTGCTAAATGAGATAATTGTGTAAATTTTTATTTCTTTATGACAAAAAGGGTATGGCTCTTGTCAGGCCTGCATGGACCTACTGGGATGCTGGTGAATTTTTTATTTTAAGTCGATTGCCTTTTAGTTTTAAAGTTAGTTTTGGAATATAAATAAAACCACATGTGATGTTCAGTTTTGTTAAAAAGGGGACAAAAGAGGCCAGAAAGGTGCACTAGGTAAAAAATGAGCTTGATCAAAGGTATGTTTTAATCAGAGATCATTCTCCTAAATTATCATAATAATAGGAAGAAACAATCAAATCAAAGTGTCAAAATAAGATATTACATAGCATGTAATTTTTATTTTTTAAGCCAGGGAAGAGTAAACTAACTCTTTTTTACAATTATAATTTTGTTAGCAGTTCTGGCTCTGGAGTTTTCAGCAGAGGACCTAAGACTCTTTAAAGTGAGTGATGTGTATTCTGAAACAGACAAATAGGAAGTGAGGGGGGAGGATCAAGGCAGGGATACAAAGACATTTCAGTTCCCTATCAGAGGGAAAGTACAAAGGGGGAATTGCTTTGTAAGTCACTTTTAAGCAGATGGAAAGTGAGCAAGTCCTGAGCAGTGTGTGGCACTTCAACTGATGCAACCCCTGTGACTCACCAGAGTCTGTTGAACTGAGAGATGCAAGAAGTTACAAGCAGGAAACTGTCTAAGAAGTTACAGTTTTGTGCTGCCAGAGTTGGCTTGCCTGAAAGGGAGGGCAGGCTGGGGAGGGGCACCCTGGCAGGTAGCCTGAAAACTCAGACCAGGAACTGCTGGAACAAAGAGTGGAGTTGGATGTGAAAGACAGCAGGAAGACAGGCTAACTGTGAGCTGCACTTGAAGGTCGGCTGATCTAAGGCCTTAATTCCACTACTCTGCAGTTTCTTTTTATTTCTATTCCTCTACTTTCTGCTCCAGTCAAACATTTTCAACAGGTGTAGTTGTTAAACTGATGCTGAAAGCAGCATGGAAAACCCTTACCGATAGAATTAGTTTTGTCTTGGTCATTTTGATTCTGTCTTCCTCTGTTCTCATGAAGAGATAAATGCATTTGCAGTCAATGCCACCCTGCAGCAGTTTGATGCTGGGGTATCTGGGAGGTGGTTAATTCATCAGCTGTATCTTCACAGCACTCCCAAGGGTCAGGGAACTGCAATCGTACAAGCAAGGGAACTGGGAAGGAGAGGCAGACTCACCTCCACCAGGTGAAAACCCATGGCAGAGGAAAACAATGGCCATAAGGGCTTCAATAAGATCTTTGCATTTGGCTCCCCCTTCCTGCTGTGAGGTGACCTCCCCCCACCTTTTGAAACTTGCCACATCACCACTGCTCCACTCTGCTTTTTCTCCAGATGTAAAAGACAGCTGAACAAAATGACAATCAGATGTTTCCATGTAAATAAAACTGAATACTGGGAAAAGCAATACAAAAAGAGGAGACAACTCCCAGCTGGTGTTGGCAAAAACTGGTGCTATGATGCTTGAGTTCATTTGTTGAAACTCTTGTGCATCTAAACATAAACAAGCTCCTGACTGCTATTAGAAGTTGGCTCCAAGATATGACAAGACATACAAAAAATCAGAAAGGATTTCTAAGGTTCAAATATGGAAAAAGTGATTTCCCATTTGTGGGTACTGTTAAATATGTTTGCATCTCACCAAAGGTACTGCAAATAGGAGAGGAAGGTGGCAGAGTCCAGTGACAAACCAACATCCAAAATTAAGATTTGCTACATGACCCCACATGAATCAATTACTCTGTGTTAACTATTCAATTCTCTATTTTTGAAGTGGAGATAAACAGTAGCTTCCCTACATTTGCCAGGTAATCTCAGCGGTAGATATACATTATATTAGGATAACATTTGTTTCAAGAATACACAATGAGCACATAGGGAGACCTTTCAGTTCTAACAGTAACCAAGATAAATAGTAAAGGCTGATAAGTGCAAGAAGAAAGAGAGACATTTTCCTTACCTCCATAATTATAAAAAGCATCTCGCTCCTTCTTTTGAACCACTGTCCCAACAACATCCACCTGTCTTATTGGATGTCCATTATAAAAGAATATACCTAGACACAAAACATGCTTGATTAGTGCAACTATTTCTTTCAACACCCTACCCTACATAGTCACATTTGTCAATTAAAAAAAAACCATACTTTCTTACATGTTTAATAAATCTTAAATTATACAGCACCTAGACAGGAAAAATCCCCTGTATCACTAGGGACACTAAAAGGAGAAAGTATCAGCTGTACTTAGGATGCCAAAAGCTTGCTTTTGTATAGTGTCAGAATCTTATTAACCTCTTGTTTTCCTGCACATTTGGATCTGAAAACTGTTTGTTTGCTGCAAGCTTTAGGGGGTTTTTCTTTGTTTGTTTTGTTGTTTCATTTGGGTTTTTGTTTTGCTTTGCTTTGTTGTTTGGTTTGGGTTTTTTTTATATCTTCATAAGGCTTCAGAATAAATAATAGAACACAAAGGAAGCAGTTTGAGCTTCTCACAATGCAGCTGTTCCTGATTAAGGCAGAGCCTCCGAAAGGAAAACTAACATAATTCTGTCTTTCATTTCTAGAGGAACAGGAGCTGTGGGGGCAGGGGGAAAGCAACAGCCCTCTCAGACTGCAGAGTACACTACGGCAGTCATTGTGGACTGCATCCTGAACTTCAGTTTCTGAAAACACATGTTCTAAAAACATCCCTTCAAAGCTATTTTTGTGCATCTATAAAGATAACTTAACACTTAGAAACATGCCCAGGAAAGAGTGAGAAATCACAGCCCAGTGGACTCTGAGAGCACTGAGGTTGCCTTGCTCTGTAATCCCTTTCAAGAGAGTGACAAATGTTGTTAACAAACACTAATGTAAACATCATACACTGAGGCTTCACAGTCCAACAGCAGGAGGAAAATAGGGCAATAAGCTCCAAATATACCCTGGGCTGGCTAGTTTTCAGTGAATGTGTTTTCTTCAGTTTTCAAATACTGCTGCTTTACTGAAATAAGCCATCTGGGATGTTCAATAACTGTCTTCTGAAAAGTAGATAACTCGAGGGACTCAGAAGGGAACATTTGGCTCCGTACACCGTGGCAAGTGTTATTCTTACAAAGGGAAACACAGCAGCAAGGGAGTCAGAAAAATGTTCTGTATAAAAAAAACCCTAAATCCAAAATCCAAAAATAACTTGTCCTACATAGCTAGCAGCCTTAAATGAGCCTGGAATTAACTTTCTTCACACAAGACAGAGAGAAAACATAAAAGTTTCAGAAGAAATCAGAGGTGATCAGCCAAGCAGCTCATAAGCAGAAATTCTGCTCATAAAAATCCATGGCAGTGTTTTGAGGACGCATCTATGGCTATCATCTCAGATCTGGCTGCACTAATCTGCAGTCACTGGTCAGGTCTGGCATAGAGAATGTTTAGCAGGTCTGTCCACTTGTCTGTCATTTCATTTACCAGGGCACAAATAAACACTGCTACAGAAACCCCCAGTGGAGATGCTCCCAGTGTATGAAGTCATTCACTCAATCTTACAACATCTCTGTAAAAGGTCTGGGCTAGTTTCTGGTCTAGAGCAAGACTGTGGAGCAGAGACTCCAAGCTCCTGATTATGCAAACAAGCAACATGTTATTATGTTTGTTTCCCAGCTAGTAAGCTGAGTTTTGGCAGATGACAGAGACCAAATAAAACTGGTTCTCTCCATCCCCGTAAATTCACCTAGAACTCCACCCTTACTCTCAGAGAAAATACCTGAACTAATTTGAAGAATGAAATCATATTTAACCTAGTAAAAGTTGTTGCACTTCATGACTTCAAGGTGTAAATTACTCCTCCTTCCAGTTTATTTGTTCAAATTAAGCCCATATTGGTAGCAATAAATATATACTAAATATTTGAAGCTGTGGACAAACACATTCAGTAAGGTTCCTAATACCCCAGTAATCAACACCCAGAGCAAAATGCCATTACCACAACAGCCACAGCACTGCCACAGGGAGCTATAGATACAGAGATCTCTAGGGCAAGTGCTGGTCATGTCTGTACCAGCATTACTGTGCTGTTTGCCATTTCTTTAATTATTATTACCTTCTTTTATACTATTTGTAGCTTCCCTTCCTTGTTGATAAGCTGTCACAAAGCAGTGGTGCATGATAACTCTGAGAAAAGCTCATTTCCATGATGTAATTATGTGTTACAACTGAGTTTGACACCCACTCTCATTGCAAGGCTGCTAAGACAACACAATTGCTGTTTTTATCTGGGAGGTTTTCCAACCTTCTTGTCACCATTTATAGCAGCAGAGTAATTGGCCAGGTTTACTGCTTCCCTCTGTGTTGCTTTAAAGGATTAGTCACTGTGGCATCAAATCCTAATGCTTAAAAGTGGAAAGAAAAAACTCATTAGGTCATTCAGTCCATTTCCTCAGAGCCAATATAAGACCATTTTGTACAGTAAATTCCTGGCAATCTGTACAGTCAGAATATAAACAATCCCAGTGAAGGGCATCCCACCTTTTTCCTGGGAAGGCTGTGCCATGGTTGAACAGATGTCATTCTAGGGATGTTTTTCCTGACATTCAGACTGTGTTTCTTTCCATTCTTCCTAGTTACAACGTTTTGTTTTGCCCTCATTCATTCTTAATTACCATTACTTAATGACTGATTTATAGCCAACCATATAGTTAGCTTCAGCTGGTCTTTAAAAGACCATTAAAGGCAGGAAGCATTGACAACAAACACCTACATTCTTCCTTCCTCAAAAGGTATTAATTTTAGTGTTTTTGTTGTGCTATCATTTGTTGCCAACAAATAAGATACACTGGAAAATGTCTGGTTTGGTGTATATATACAGCACTAGGAGAATGAACAAAATTCAGGATGTTGGTTCCAGAAAATTTCATTTTATTTGAAGTTTGGTTTAGAAAATGATGCAGGATTGCAAGCAAGCAGAGGGCAGAGTGCCAGATGCACAGGAAGGGGAGAAAGCTCAAATGTACCAACTGTAAAGGCTGATATCTTGACATGATAGATACCACCTCCTTAGGATCATCTTAGAAAAAAAACAAAGGTAATAGCAAAACTGAAAAAGTTCCTGAAGCAGAAGCCAACTCAGTAAAGTAAAAGAACAGGAAGAGAAGTAAGAAGGGAAATTCAGGTATTTTGGAGTAAAGAAAAGAGCAGGACTGTACTTTCTAGGACTGTTCCTGTTATCATGAAATGTTTCTTGGTGTTTATAATGCTAATTATTCTGAATACATTTTCACATGTGCATGTACTAATGTTCAAGTCCAAACTACAATCCAATTCTTCTGGCATTGAATTGTTTTGTATTTTGTTTGAAAACAATTAAAATATGAAGAACATGATGAAGAACAGTTTTCACCAGATGCATTTCTCACACCAGTACTACTAGGAGACATTTATAAGACAGTTTAAAAAGGCCTTTAAAAAAAACTTGCTGTAGGACAAATATCAACAGCACTCTGCAGCCTAATTATTACAATGGATTTATTATAAAAGTCTCTCTCCATGTTAAATAACCAAGATAAATAGATAGACTGGTATTTGTGGTTTGTGAAGTCCTCATGTACATAAAAATGGCTGCAAGAAGAGAAAAAAAACCCCGCCAGTCCTTCATTTCTCCAAAAATAGCATTGCTGCTATCCTTGCTGTTAAAGAAAACTGAAGAAGAATAACAAAACCTACAAGGCAAAGCATATTCAAAGAGCCAAACAGGGGTACTTAGTATCTGTGGACAGAAAATAATAAAAATTAGAAACCACAAACAAAACATCAAAACCAAACCAAAGGCATACACTGTGCTTAGGGCTTATTGCTTTTCCTCATTAATTCTAAGTTCTCTGGGTCCCTCCCTGATAATCTTGCACCATGTCAGGCTTCACTTGGGAGTAATGAGCCCTTCCACAGCAGAGACACACTGCAGTCTATTTAAAGCCTGTGTAGTGAAAACAGCAATTCAAGGTCAGAGCTGTGCTGCTTCAGCCAAAGCTCACATGTGGGTGACACTGCAGAGCAGCAGGACACACTGCAAAGCAGACTTGTGGGGCAAGGTCCAGCATGGAGGCCAGAATTTACAATAAGCTTGTTCCAATGTATGAAGAATGTCATATATCTATCATATCTAGAAATTAAGGAGACAAAACCTCAAAACCTGTATCTGTCTTATAATGTATTAATATCCATAGGAAAAAGCAAAATCACACATCCAGCAATATCATCAACTGTCAAAATTTTGCAAAAAAAATGTAGAGACAATGGAGAGGTAACAATACATATGGCCAGAAAGGACAAGCAATTTTTTAGAATTAACTTTATCAGAATATAACAAGCACCACCACCCAGAGGAAACACATTATCTTAATGTAAAAGAGGTACTGGAGAGAAAGGAAAACCATTTTAACAAATATATTTTATTTTTCACATACATTTCACATACAACCTGTTGTTCTTAGAACTTCTAAGAGAAACTAACATCACTTAGCATAAGGCTATGGAAAACTACTTTATTGATGTTTGTGAAGTATTCTTCAATCCCTTCATAAAAAGCACAACATAAATCAATTATAATACTGTGTGCATCATAATCAGCACCTATAAATACATACCTGGCACCTGTATAGATTCTCTCATTTCTGTAATATCTTTAATATAGAGTCTTGCAAATGCAGAAAACACAGGATCGATACCCCAGTGCAGAGAAGGCATCTCTTCTTCATACTTCTCAGACTGCATCTGAAACCTGTGAACACAGAAGGATCTGAAATTGTTTTCTACAAAGTTGAAGAGCTGCTCACATTCATTCTTTTTCCCATAAATGAAAAAACAGTTCATGAGTATACACACAATAACACAGCAGAGCTGAGCATGAGACACTGGAGTTTATCTAATAAAATGTTATATATATCTATCAATATTTCATGTGTTGCCACATGAAATATTCAAAGTATCAATACTCATGACTTGTTTGAAGTACTGAGAATCCAGCAACAGCATTTCCCCCAGTAACTTCAAATGAAATAGAATTTCAGAGACTTTTCTTCTCTAAAATCCATAAACAGAGAACTAAAGTCAACATTGGTTTAAAAGAGCAGGATTGTGGGATCCTAAGTGGCTACTTTCTCTACAGATGATTATTATTTCCCCATCATTCTCCTTTCCTAATGTACTCATTGTTTGTGCTGTGCTTTATCATGGAGTTGAGGGGGGATGACTTTATTCAAAACAAAAACAGCCATCCCTTCTTTGTTTTGGGCATGTAGTCTCCACTAACTTTGAAATTGTTACTTTTCCATTTTGCCCTTTCAGATTTTAGAGTTTATGCCTGCCATCTTATGCCATTACAGATCCAATTCTCTGCTTATCAGGGTCTTGATGTCAAAAACCCCAGCACTCGATTCAGGAAGATCCTCATAAAGATTTGGAAGCTGAAAATACTTTCTATCAGCTTCTCCTGTAGCTGCATTGTTCCTGTAAGGCTTTCCAGGTCACCTTCCTTTTACTAGTAAAAGTTTAAAAAAAAGTCAGTGTTATTTACCCTTCCTTGGACTGGTCATTTCTTAGGTGAGATGTTGAAAATATTTGATTTAGTCAGTTCCAGCAGTAACTTCACTATTGAGTAACAAACTGAAATAGTTTGATTACACCTGGATTCGTGTCTTGCTCCCCACTACAGACAGCTCTTCCCAGCCTTTTCTTTTTGCACCTGCAAGATCTCCTCAAAAAGTCACACCATTCCTTTCTCACTCAAGTCTCCCCATGAAGCACCCTTTTTCTACTGCTGAATTGAGACACTGCTCAATAGAAATTTAGAAATTAAGCTGTTAAGTGTATGATTTTAACACAAGCTGCTATTCCTCCATATGGCAGTTCTCTGGATACTTACTACACTCGGTGTCAAATTTACACCTTAAAGTTTCTCAAAGGAACAAATGGTTTGAACCTGTATTTTACTTGACATGCTCCTTTTCTTAACAAAATTGGTTTCTCCATCTCTTTTTGCTTGCAGTCTCTAGTACAAAGTTACATTCCTTTCTGCTTCATGCCCCCCAATTTACTTTGCATGGTTACAAAGCCTGTCACAGCTCAGCACCTGTTTTTCCTTCTAGACAGACAGCAGACTGAGATAACCAGCCAAAAAGAGACAATCAGGTAACAAGTCTGTCTAACCTGTTGTATTTTGGGTAAACAAGACACTCCTTGGGGTAAAAAGCAGAAGTCACCCCTGCACATGTGTGCATCTGAGGGGAAATCAATGAAGCAGCTCCACTGAAGATTAAAAATATCTGTATTTTGGCATTTTATAGCCACTTGTCAAGCCTGAAATGTCCAAATGTTAATAGATTAATAGCCAAGCACACTTTAAGCCTAAATGAAGAGCATCTCCCCAAAATTTTTTACTGCTTTCCTGTTCTGAAGGGAGAAGATTTCTGCAGTGAAAGCTCTTTCCATCTCAAAAACAACTGGGAGTTAAATCTCAAATTCTGGAGCTTTCTTCTCACTCCCAGGCCTTGTTACAGCTCCTCACTGGAGATATTTACAGCCATCATACGTCTTTATGTAGAGACCATTCTGTTTGGTTCAAGCCTGCTACAGACACAAAACGCTTTATCTTGCAGATATGGCAAAAATTCCTTGACAAAAACTAAATTGTGCCCCCAGCACTATGAAGGCATCACAGGATTCCCTGAAGTCCAGAGGACAAATTTGCTGAAGTCCTGAGTTAGAGACATTCCATCCACACCAGGCTGGGACAGTGAAACCGTACCCCAGCCACCCACTCAATGTCAGCAGGGTCTGACAGGCACACCAGGGCATTCTGCACAGCAGCCAAAGCCTTCCCTGGCCTCCTCACAGTCCCAAGAGCTTTCCCAACCCCTGACACCACCCAAAACCAAGCCTATTTTCTTCCTTCCCTCCCAGTGGTCAGCTTGGTAGCTACATTTGAACAGTGGCCTATTTGAAGCCAAAAGTTTGTGGTCAGTTGGAAAGAAAAGATGTTTAGTGCCTCCTGGATGTATTGCTTGCCTCTAACACTGCTAGTATCAGTCCATTCTTCTCAGCATTTGTCTGTTTCCTCCTAAAGCAAAGCAAGATGTAAACTATTTCCAAAGTATCTATTCAGTGAGTTCCCAAGCTTGTTTCAGGCAGATTGAGAGTATTAAAAACCGTAATTCCTATAAGGCTGGCAAAACTCTTCCAATCATTTATCTTTTGATATATAATAGTATCTTCCCGTAACTTTTTCCTAAGTTGGCACAGGAAGCCTCTCCATCCCGGGGTTAATTAATGAGTCATCCTGGCAAAAGTGGAACTTTCCATTATGCTACAAGTGTTTGCAGCCCTTAACTGGTACCATTGGTGATTTGCTATCAGCAAAGAAGATAAGAGCTGCCCTGTACAATGAAGAGCCAAGGGGCAAATAGGGGCATTGTGGAGATGCACAACGTTATAATCAGTGAAGACCCAGACAGCAAACAATAGACAATTCTGAACAGATACTATCTAATTAATGTTTAAGGATTAAACTGGTTTTTGCTGGGAGAGGGCGATCAGGCTTAGCAATATAAACAACACAGAGTCCTAGCAAAAGGTCATTCCTTTCTGCATTTTGTTTTAAGTGCAGTGTAATGACTTCAGGGTTGCTGTAGTGCAAGAATTCAATCATGTTACAGGAGGAAAAAAAGGCAACAGAAGAATCTAGTCCACAAGTAAATTAGACAGAAGATATCAGTACTCTATTTTTAACTCCAGAAAAAGGCTATGAAGGCATAATCATAACCAAAAGAAGAATTATGTTCTTCTTGGGAAAACAACTTTGTTTGAAGGGCAGAAATCTAAAGTTTACATAGTAGGTATCTAGATACAAATAAACAAGAAGCCTCAATTTGAGATTATTCTAACATATTAAGATTGGGCTGTCTCTTTCACCCACTGCTATCAATGTTAGCTTTCCTGACTCTACTGAGAAGCAAACCAAGTCCATAACCCCAGAGCTACCTTGTAAGCTCAGCAAGGTATCATCCTAGAAGGGAAAGCAAGGAAAATTGGCACCCTTCCCAACCATGCCACCCCCCAAACCCATTTCTTTGTTCCCTCCTAAGCAGCCTATTGGGTAGTTTTGTCTCAAGAGCTTCCTATTTAACACCCTATTGATTTACTCAAAATCAGCCCTAACCAATTAATTCCTTGGCTCATATTCCTGTGCCCACCATGTACCTTTTCCAAAAAAGGTAAACAGTCTTCTTCCAATCCCAGTGCAATTGAAACCTCAAAGAAGAGTATCTGTTTTCATGTTTCTTGTTGTCTTTTCTCCAAATTTGATTAACAACCAAAGCTCTTGGAGAAAATTGCCTTAGCTTGAGATTAATAATTTTGAGCCAAGAAAATGTGTCTTGCCAGTGGCTGTCTGCAACTGCTCTGCAAGTGCTGGCACACTGCTGCAAAAACTCTTTCTCAAGTTAGCTGTAAAACAGAAACAGAGAATTTATTCACTAATACAGGCAACTTAAACATCCTACCAGGCTTTCACTCTTCTCCAAAAGCTGCCACTACCATGCTAGCACTGACAATTTACACTGGAAACGGCTCCTAAACTGTTGGAGTTGCCAACCCAGTGCATTAAAACAACTTAAAGTCATCACTGGTTTTCTTGAATAAACTAGGCCAGAAACTGTGGCTGTCAAAAACTGCTCCACAGGTCAGCCATTCCTGCCACGGACAAAGCAACTTGTGGAAAGAAAGAGGAGCAGAGTCAACAGCTGGGTTTTGTAACACCCTCTGTCATCTGAATTGAAATCATCTGTGTCTGAGTCAACACCCTATGTGACAAATGACTATTATCCAACTCTTCATGATCAGCAGAGGCAATTCCAGCATGGTACAGTCAAACCTACCATTTTCTAGGAAATGTTTTTAATTACCTACATCCATCCACATACAACATTTTAAATTAAAACCAAATAAACCCATTGTATTATTGTACAAGTAAATCTTATGAACTGGGAAGTAAAGCTTTTGGTTACAGTTAATATGGAACAAAGATTCTAGACATGAAACTCACCCATAGGTTTTTAAAAAATACATAGTTAAAAGAAAGTATCCAACACCAGTAACAAGATGAACACCCTCACTGAGACCAAAGCACCTCACTGAAAGGCAAAAAAAGGCTCCTGGAAAACAGCTGTTGGAAAACTATCAAACAGTAAGGTACGGTCAGTTTGGATCCACCTCCTACCTGGTTATTCTATTACAAATCAAGATGGGGCAAGCACTTTCAGTCTTTCATAATAAGCCACTTACTGCTTCTGTCATGTTAAATCCTGTCAGTTTTGATGCTACATGCTGCATGTCTTGTAGTTCTTACATATAAGTACAATTCCAATTTAAAGACATAGTTTCAAAACAAAATTAAGAAATCTAGAACTCCTCTGAACTTCCAGAAGTTTAGCACTTCCTGCAATGTTACTTGTACAAGGGTTTAACATTTGTCTAAGCTCTTCAGATAACAATTTACCAGAAGAAAGAATTATAGATTTTTTTTCTTAAAGATACTCCTTGAAATTCTAAACATTGTATGTCTTTTACTTACATTAGTTTTTATTACAATACACTTCATTGGTAAGTGAAGAGCAAGACAAGAGGCCCACCACTGCAACCTTTAGCCAGTGGGGAATCTAACAACCCAGAAAGGCACTGCCCACAATGCCCATAAGGCAAGATATAGGTAGAGGCAA